ATAATAAAAGTAACAAATGGGGTGTTGAGGGCAACAAGACAGACACAGAACTACAGAACTCTCTGGAGAAGGGGGTAGGGATAGGGAGGATTGACAACTTGGAAGGGAGGAGCTTAGGGAAGGGCTTGGGAAAACTGGCAACTGGGAAAGGGAAAGGATTAGGGAGGAGAACAGGGGACAAACATGGATTCAAAGCAAAACACACCACAAAGGATGCACATATTCCATATGTGTATTTTAGACTGGTGAAGGGAAGCAGCCCCCTTGTATGGTGGACAGCATTTGTTGGCAAGTTGTACTGAATCCTTCTATTCTGCAGCAAAACTGATAGTACATACTGCTGCAGAGACTCAAGTGAATATCACAGCCCCATTGTCCAGTAGGAGTTGTTCTGTAGACTCCAGGGCACAGTGTATTTAGCGCCAGAGTTGCTTTTATGCCTGTCAATGAGGAGCAGCCATCGTTCTGGAGGGGACCTGAGCCATTGCAGCATGGACACCTGTGTTTTCTAATTGAAGCTCCTCCATTACACATCAGTACAAGCTCAAAATCTGGTCCTCATGCATACAGTGACACAATTCTCACTGTGCCCCTGCCTTTACAGGCTGAGTTACATCTTGTCGCTGCATAGATCTTATCTTTGTCTGGTTCATCCTGCAGTTTGGGTTCCAAAAATAGAGCCTGTGCATGAATCTGTACACACATGCGCTTTTTAGCTCTATGACTCCTTTGAGGTGACCTCCTTTGCAGCACTGATGAGCATGTGAGAATATTATTCATTGCTCTGGATACACACAGAAAATCATGAGCAGAGAGAGGTGTGCTGTATATTCTGTCTCAAAGCATTGACTGTAAATGTGCCCAGGTTAGACAGACACCTTGATTTCTCAGGATGGGAGGAATGATGTATTTGTGGTTTCTCGGGCTTCTCTTTTAATACCTTAATTACTTAGGTCATGCCAAGCATAATTCAGCAATGACTGCAGAAATAGTGATGTTTGGATATTCAGAAAAGCCACGCAAAATGTCACTCACTTGAAATTAATTGAAGTGGGAAAATACATGCATGGCCTAGAAATCCCACACCTTCCCTGCATGGGGAAGAATCAGAGCCCATACTTGGATCCCTCAGGGAAACACATTGCCCAGATGAGGAGGGATGGGAATTAATATTTCTGCTACTTTCAGATGTCAGCAGTAAGCTGACATGAGTGGGGCAAACATTTTGTAGTGATGCACAGAAGCACCCCCAGAATCACCTGCATGCAGCATTAAAGCTTTTCTGAATAACTATATTTTCTTACTATTTATCCTTGAGCTGTGTGCAGGAAAAACATTTCACTTGCAGCATCTGGCAGAACCCTGAATTCCACATGTGATTCAGGAGAGTTAAGAGCTGGTGGAAGCTATTTTGGTCCTCAGTGTTATAAAGTCTTTTACAGAGTCAATGGGAGGGATTTTTGGGGTGCATCTGAGCTGCCAACACCTTCTGTTATCAGCAACACAGGAAATTTCTGTGCCAAGTATGATTTAACTCTTCATTATTTAGACTGGGAAAATACACAACAAAGTTATTTCAGAAGTACAGTTCTTAAATGCTGTCAGTAACATCTGGGAGCTACTTGGTATCTGTCAAACATAACTCCTGATCTTGCAGGGTTATTCTTTGTGCACTGCTTATCATTGATAAAATTGTGGAAACTCAGAACATTCGGTTTAAACAAGAGGCCAGATTTTTTCACGGTGTGTCCACACTGAACCTCTTTGGCAGTAGGTGACAGGAGATTTTGGAATTCCTGGCAATCCTTAGAGACAAGTGTCTACACCAGAAAATCGTGTCAGCTGATGGCAACTCTGATAATCATAGGTACAGATACACCTCTGCTGAGACTCCAGGATATACGATTTGCAAACACAGTTAGTGAGTAATTGATTTGACACAAAGTTTCCAGGGAGGCTGAAGTTTAAAAACACTCAATTTCTGGAGTGCTGAGTTAAATGCCACTGGTACTTTAAAATGTCAGAAAATGCTTCCCTAAGGTGTAAGGAAAGACAGAAGCCTCAGGGGCTGCCCTTTAACTGCCTTAGAGGAAGCAGATGAGCTGGAGAGAAACCACTAGATTCTTGCAGGTGGGACCACGGTTGTGGGACTGCAGAGCAAGTCTCTAGAGTGGTTTTCTAGTGTCTTCTACAAACATTAGGCATGTTTCTTCTTGCAGTTTTCTGGGAGCTTAATGAGAGTTGTACCTGCTACCTGGCTTATTTTTGTGTGCTTTGGTTGGTGCTTCTGGAGGATTTATTTTCTACACCTTCACTAGTGATGGCCAGACCTGACCCTCTGGCTCTGGCCTTTGGAGCACGTGTAGGCTGTTTCTCCATCTCCACAACTCCTTTCCCACAGTTTATTTGATTTCTCTTGGATTTCTTCTTGGATAACTTCTGTCTTTGGATTGCTTTACTGTTCATTTTTGAATAGACTAGCAAGGCATGCCTATCCCACCCCTCCTTATCCCCTAGGTTTACAGTAGAAATAGGATTTGCTTTAAGGTTATGTTCAAACTGCTGTGCACCTGTCCAGACTCATCTTCCAGTTCTTTGCCCAATGTAATCCTTTTTATGTTTTTTACTGTTCTTTTTAAGGAAAATGCAAAAAACGAGGAGATGGTTTGAAACTGGAGAATGACCCTCAGGAGGTGAGTCACCTAGAATTCAGAGGTCTGAGGCCTCTTGTCCACCTTTGGTCCAAGGGGAGCAAGTTCTTTATTTGTTCCTGCTCTAAGGCCTGCTTGGCAGGTGGTTGAGGGACAGTGGGTGATGCCAATGTTCTTCATTCTTTGCTCTGTGCATTTCAGCCCTGCTCCTGCCCTCACTGCAACTTCCCTGCTGTTTTCCATTCTGTCACTGGGAATGACTGTGCCCAGATGTTTGCTCAGCAGCTTTGTACCTGTCTTCCTGTGGGCCAAAGAAGAAATTCCTTTTGTCAGGGCCTTCTTGTTGGGCCTGAACAAAAAGGCCACTCTGGCCACTCCTAGGATCTCAGTTGTTGCACTCTCACTGGCACCCATCTACTCAGGTTCAGATGAGGAGAATTTTCCTCAAAATATTCTCCCATGGGAAAAGCCTTTATGAGAACAGTTACCACAGCTGCTTCTTCCTTTGCAAATGTGGGTGCATTTTCCACTCCTGGGAAAGGAGTGAGAATTGTTCCAGGGGCACCAAATTCCAGTAGGAGCCATGGGGACTGAGCTGGGACCATGGGGACCAAGCTGGGACCAGTACTATGTGGACTTAGCAGCATGCAGAGTCCAAATGATGAAAAGCCAATTGGGTACTAATCCTGTCAGCACTCCATGGGAGAAACTGCCTCATGCGTTTGGACACCAGCAGTATTAAGAGTAGAGTCTGAGTCAGGAAAAAGATGGAATGGGAGCTGTGTCCTTTTTCCTCCGCTCTGTGGTTTGTATGGTGTTCTCTTACCAACACAGGATTTGGGAGCACAGAGGAAAGGATGGGGGTGGGTTTTAGCATGTGGTGTCAGAGACCGTCACGTGCTTCACATCCTGTTCCTATGGAAAATGGAAGCTGAGAATCACCAAGTATCTTATTTCAATGATAGTGGTGTGAAATCCATGGATACTCCTTACAGTGGTTGTCATTTTAGAAAGTTTGCTCAGTCAGTACTGTATCCATTGTGTTCTGTATCAGCCTGAAGTTGAATCCAGTTATTTACTGCTTCTTTGCCTTTATTTCCTTAGGCAGAATCAGAAATGGCTCTGGATGCAGAGTTCTTGGACGTCTATAAGAACTGCAATGGTGTAGTTATGATGTTTGACATCACCAAGCAGTGGTAAGAAACCCTTACTTGGCACCATGTAATTCTCCCTTGTTCAGGCAAAACAAATGACTTCCAGATTTCCAGATTCCTAGTTGCATTTGGAAGCTGATAACCAGCCTAATAAGTTGGAGCAAGCTTGTATCCTTTAAAATAAAAGCTTTATCTTGTGACATGGCTTTTAATACACTCTTCTCCCGGGCTTGTTCGAAACAAGCAGTGTCCCAGTGGGTTGTGTGCTGCAATTGCTGATATGCTGCTGGCTGAGGCATAATAATTAGTGCTATCTCAGGTGCAAAGTGCATGTTGCAAACCCCTGCTCTCCAGAACACAAGGGAAAGGAGGATGCTAGTGAGAAATTCCCAAGAAACTGGTATTGGTAAGGATTATTTAGAGGCCCCGGGCTGCATTAATCTACAGAAGTAATGAGCTGTTGGTTTTGCACATTTGAGGAGAGTGAGAGAGATAAGGAATCCAGAGTGGAAAGAGGAGGGAGTTAGAGCTCCTCCTTTATATTTAGGCTGGTGTCGTTCAGGTTTGGTGTGGGTCAATGAGCCTTTGGACAGCTGAAGGGAGGGAATCCTTTCCTTCTGCTGAACCCACAGTTTTGCAGGACTGAGATTGCTGTAGGAGATACGAGGGCTCTGGTGAAAGTGGATTATGGAGCTTGTGAAGTTGGTTTTGAATAAAGAATCATGCAAACATATTGAGGATTAATGTATTTCTCTGATGAGGCAAAGAAGCCACAGACTTGGAAGGATTTTGGAAAAAAAAATTCCTGTTTTTTTTTTTTTTTCTTTGTGATTTGTGCATGAAACTCCTAACAGAAGGATGTTCCCACTCATCTGCTCTCTCTCTCCCCTCTGATGAAGGACATTTAACTATATTCTGAGGGAGCTTCCTAAAGTGCCGACGCACGTTCCAGTGTGTGTGCTTGGGAATTACCGGGACATGGGGGAGCACCGGGTCATCCTGCCCAGCGACGTGCGGGACCTCATTGACAACCTGAACAGGTGAGCGGGCAGGGAGCAGGCCTCAGCTGCTCCCTGCCATCCCGTCAGCAGCCGCGTTACTGCCATGTTTCACACCCATGGCACATGTGCCCTCTGTGCTGCGTGCCTGCCTCGCTCCCAGAGCTCCCCATGGCTCACAAGCAGCATCTGCTGACACCATGGGCCCTTTGATCTGGAGCAGACTGTTTGCCACGCTCCTGGAAACAGGGAGTGGCTGGCAGCATGTGCCTTTCAGAAGTGCTGTTCCCAGCAAGTCATCTTCTTTCTGGATAGCCTTCTCCTGTGAGTGAGTCCTCTCCCCATAGCACAGCTGTTCTTTGCTCCAAGTGATGGTGCTACACGAGAGCCAGCCAGTGCAGCTGCGTCCTTGCTCTGCCTCTGAGCCTCCCCCATGCAGCACTTGCAGGGTACGGCCAAGTCACACGTCCCTCACCAGCCAGACAAGCATTTCCCTTAAGTAGAGATCTAAGGTGCTTTGTTACATGGTATAAAATCGTATTTGTTGGTCACGATTAAGTAGATGGTACCCTTTTATGTAGTTTTATGCTTTAAAGGTATTTTTTCATTTTCCTCATCTCTTACTTGTTCATGCCTGTGTCAGGCACAAAGAAATTGTGTCAGTTTTAAGATTTTATCCATGATGAAATAATCTTTACAAAATAATTTCTCTATATTATTTTTGTCAGTCCGATTGTGTTTTTTAAAACAAAAACCTTCACTGTGAAATGAACCACATGTAAATCCCTAGTTTAGGAAACCAACATCCCAGTGTCCTGACAAAGTATTTCTTAGCCTGGCAGGCACATGACACTGTCACACACCAACAGCCACCTCCTGCCACACTTCAATGTGAATTTTGGCTGTAAACAAAATAATGAGTCCAAGCCAAATGATGCCCTGGGCTAGATTTGAGGTGGGGGCTGGCTTGTGGGGTGGCTCATGGCATGTAACTCAGTCCTGTGCAGGGTCTGCGAGCTGTGCTGGGTACAGTGTTCTCTCTGCTTGGCACAGGCCTCCCGGCTCCTCCTATTTCCGCTATGCTGAGTCTTCCATGAAGAACAGCTTTGGCCTCAAGTACTTGCACAAGTTCTTCAACATCCCCTTCTTGCAGCTACAGGTAAGGCAGGGATGTTAGTTATCCTGATGTGCTCTGTGTGTGGGACAGATTGGATTTGCTTCCTTTCTAAGGCAGGAATTTGGTATTTGGGGTTTCAATTGCTGTTAAAGGATCCTGAGTAGATTCTTTTCATTCGAGTTGGTATAACAAAATCATGTGAGAACATTGGTGCCTGTGACTGATTTAAACATGTCTCTGGTTGCAAGAGTTAGCTGTGCTGAGTTCCCAATGCTGACCGCTGGAGAAAGGCTCCATTTTCACTGGCATGAAAACGGCATCCAGTGGTGCAGTTACCAAGTCAAAAATGTAAAATATAATGTATAATATTTTAAACTTTGAATTTCAATTCTGTTCAGTTAAAACTCAGATGTGAAGAGATTCAGCCATTATCTGAATAGTTCAGAAACCTCTGCTGAAAATCTTTCCCCTAATGGTAAAGGGCATTAGATATGAGATCCGTGTGCTTGCATCCTGTTCACATGGATCCAATCTCCTATTTCCTTCATATCTGAGGATTCTTGGGAGGGCTGAGGGAAGGGCAAAGGCTGGGAAGGGTGGAATTCTAGTCTCTGGGCGTTTTGAAGATCACCTTTTGGGGTGATCCTACAGGGGTCCTTTGGAATGAGTAGCTTATGCTTTTTGAGGGCATACATGATGTTGTGTCACTGTTTTCTATTTAATGGGAAAAACCCAGGCAGCTGATATTTATTATCTTTCACCAATAATTGAAGTGTATGTGTGTATTTTTATGTAAATAATCCCCAGTGAAATGCCAGTTCAGAAGGAGCTGAGATATATTAGTGGATGTTACCAAGTCCTCAGGCTGCAGAACAGAAAGAACCAGGGTAAGACAACTGAATGTATAAAACCTCAGTGAAACAAGTCTAACAATTTTTTGAGGGGGAGGTTGTAGAAATCTGATCTGTAAATCCAACCTGCTGCTCAGTGGAGAAGACTGAAATCTGTCAGCATGTTGCTGGTGAAATATTTGGGTTTATGACACTGCATATTTGGAGGCTTTTGGTTGCCTCCACCCAGTTTTTGGTGCTTTACTTGATGACAAACTTCACCTAAGATGAGTTGCATTGGTTTCTCCAGTGCCCCTGGCACTTGTGCCACAGTTTTATGGGCAATGCCTCATGCTGCTCCACAGTAGCTTCCTTGGGTCACTTCACTGCTCCCAGACACTCACTGGGAACCTTGTGTTGGTGTGCACAGGGACCAGGGTTGGCCCTGTTCAACATCCAGTGCAGCATGAGCTGAAATTTGTAGGAAAATTACATGTAGACTTAATTCCTGAAAGTTCTTCTTACCCCTTCAGACATCCTTGCCAGTACCAGGCTCCAGAAATGAGTTTTTCTCCCTGGAGCAGAGCAGGATTAAAGGAGAGGGATGCTGTTTGGTATAAAATGCACATAGGATTTCATCAGCCTGGGACGTTTCTGTGCCTCTCAGCCTGCCCTCCACAGCTTTCCAGGGCAGAGTGGTCCAGCTGTATCCACGGTCCCAGGCTGTCCTTCAGCAAGGTTGGGGTCAGTGTGTGGTTTTCAGTGGCACATTCCTGTGCTCAGTTTGCAGTCACACATCTTCCATGGTGAAAGTAAGGGCTGAAATCCATACCCCCAGTACAGAGTTCATTCTCTCTGTCAGACTGAGCTCTTCATTTATTTATCAGTTCCTTTCCAGGGGCAAGATTGGCAAATTCGAGGATGCAGTTTAGCTGTAGGTATATCTGGAAACCCACAAATGAGATCAGGTCACCCAGGCCTCCAGATGCTGTGCTGGAATGAGACAGGATTCTACAGACATTTGAGATTGCCTTTTCTCAAGAAGCCCTTGCAAGTGCCTTTCAGCTGAAGCACTGGTCTCTAGTAAACTATTTATTCCCTTCTTTTGGGTCATTGCAGAAAATGAGCTGTTTCTTTAATATTTTAATAACCAGCATGGTAAAATATAATATATTTTTTTTACGTTTTTGGAAGTTTGTTAGTAGTGATGAATTTGTACAAAATTGATTGCAATTCTCTATTAAGTATATATTCTTACTTATTGTAATCTGTGAAAATTGAAATAAATAAAACTGGTATATGTCTCAGGGCCAAAGTGTAAGGCAAGGCACACCACTTGTTTAATAGACAAGTCTAATTAAAGTCATTATCAAAGAGCCTAAGGTAAGCGCCGGAGGGCAGTAGCCCTTCTGTCTCTGTTTGTTCAGCTAATTTGCTCAGCATGTATTTCACCTGTCTTAGGAAACTGGGGACAAAGAAGCAGCAAACTTGCCCTTTTTTGTCTCATTTTTGCTTATACTGCATGAATAATATAAAATTATTATATCTGCTGCTTCTCAGATCTTCATTTTCTTGAATTCTGAAATCCAGAAGTTGAATTCTAAAGTCCTCATTAGTACTTCTGATTAAGGTAGCAACTTTAAATATGAATAGCATATTTTGCTGAATCTTTCTTGTCTGTAAACGACAATAAAGGAATTGGCATTAAGTAATAACATTGTAATTCCATGCATACATATGAATCAAAGTCAAGTTTCCATCTGCAGAGAGCACTTGAATATGATGAATAAAAAATACTCAGCAAAGAAAGGAGGGATTGCTCCAAGCTCTTAACACAATGGCAAAGGTAAACATGAACACTCTGTATGCCTTGGAAGCAGTAAATTAGCTTAAATTATCACAGAAGCCCTTACATTTCAAGAAGGGCTATGTCTTCCAGTAAATTAGGGTTATCAACTGTGATGAGTCACCTGGTCTTACAGTACAAAATAAAAACCACTTAAACTTTTTTGCTGGTTTCAGTCACAGTAGAATTTGATATAAATCAGTTGCTCCATGGAGGGCTCAGGCTGTGCTGTGATTGTTCCCTGGAGCACAGCACTTGGTGTGATTTGTGTGAGCCAAATGAGTTAATTGCTCTTCAAACCTCTGCAGTGGCTTGATAACTTCAAAGTTGTCATATCTATGAAACCATAATGCCAGCACCAGGTGCATGTAGAGACTGAACAGCATCACTTCATGCAAATGTTTGTCTTCTCAGATGGAGATTATTCTGGGAATTATATAATAGATTTCCTTTTGGGCTTTTAATCTGATAGTATCTTTCTGCAGTGAGTTCAAGTGTTGTCAGACAGGGAATTAAGAATTCACCATGGTTATTGATGCTAGCCTTCAAAAATATTTGTCAGAGCAAAGCTGAAATGTACTTGGAGGATAAGTCAGTTATCAAAGCAAAACCCTTGGCAGTTTGGAGGAAGCCTGTGGTTTCTCTTGCATGTCCTCCTGCCTAGGCAGGGATACAGCCTGTGGCACCACAGACCTGCTGTAATGGGAACTGCTGTGCCAGGCTGGGAGTCACCAGCCCAGCTCAGCACAAGCTGGCCCTGCTCCTGTGCCATCCAGTGCATAGGTAGTGGGAGAGGGAGGACTGATGCCCTCAGGCACCAAACATGTGGCTTTTGACTCCAAAATTTAGGAGGTGAGCTGATGGGCAGGGCCAGCGCCCAGCTGTGTGCCAGGCAGCTGTGCCTGAGCAGAGGGGACAGGGCTGTGGGGCAGAATTTGCACCACTGACAGCTCTGGTCTTGTCCAGGGGATCCAGAATGATGTTTCTGCAGGAGTGGATGCTGTGTCAGCCCTGCAGGGCTGCAGCCATTGAGGGAGCTGGCTGTGCCTGTGAATATTGATCTCTCCTTGCTGCCATCTGGATGTCGAGAAGAGAGAGCCTTTCCCCTCAGCTGAGGTTTTTGTTTCAGTTCTGTGGGAAATGTGGGAAAGGAAGGACTGAGTGAGGCAGTCCTAGATTACATTAGTGCAGTCAACTCACTTTATTGCCCATTGGAAATGGGCTAGGGTGTCTGTCCCCCATCTATGGAACAGCAATTGGAGGCAGAGGGGCAAGGACTTCTGAAATGTCATTGAGTTTATAGGTTGTGCTCCCTCATCTCCCCCAACAGCAAAAAAAAAAAAAATTGTTGGGAGACTTTGCATTCATCTGGGTCCTGCTCCCAGAGGGGCTGATATAGCACAGGGAAAATCAAAAGGCCTGAGTGAATGAGTTGCACAACTGATCTCTGCAGGGGCTAAATCCATTCTCCAAGTGTAACTGGTGCTGTGGTGTCTGAAATAACACATTATTGATTTATGACTGAGAACAGCTCACAGAACAAGGTGCTTCTTACACATAGACTTTGTGGATTATCTACTTTTTATTCACTTTCCCTTTGTGCTCTGTATTTAAATGGACACCATGATCAGGGCCAGGGCATCATGATCCTATTGCACATGATACTGTGGTAAAGTGGTGACATAGGATCTCAGTGCACTGAGATCTGTTACAATGACCCTTCTGCTCAGACCCAGCTTGTTTTCCTTTCCTCAGAGGGAGACGTTGCTACGGCAGCTGGAGACAAATCAGCTGGATATTGATGCAACTCTGGAGGAGCTGTCAGTGCAGCAAGAGACTGAAGACCAAAACTACGAACTGTATGTCACTGAGCTGTCTTTTCTAACTGCTTTGGGTGTCACGTGAATGTTGGGCAGCCCCAGCTGTGCCATGTGGCCAGGTTGAAGGGTCTAGTGCATAACATTTAGGGATCCTTTGGATAAAATGTTGCTTTTGAATGGCATCACCTGAAGAAAAGCATGCACCTGGGGATCCGTGGGAAACAGTCTGGTTCCTACAGGCTTGTGATTGGGGAGGGCAGGGCAGGTGGGGCTGAGCAGCACACCTGGAGCCAGCACATGCTGAAGTAGATAAAGTGCTGGAAGGGGATATTTTCCATCTCTCAGCTGCTCAGCACACAAGTTGGTTCCTCTCCTGGCTGTTGCACTCCTATGTATTTTGTGTCTTATGACAGTAGAAAGTAGTAGCAACAACACTGCTGTCTTTTCTGCTGTCTTTTGTTCCCTTTGAACACCTCTGAACTCCTTGGTGTATTTCTGGATTGAAATAGTGACTGGTTCCTCTTACCCTGTGTCTGGTCTGTGCCTTGGCTGTGTGCTTGGCTGCTTGTAATGGTGTTTGCCAGCTTTAGCCCCATAAAGCCAATACACCTCTAGCACAGTGAACAGGAATTCATGTTCTGTGAATTCCCATCACAAGGCTTTGATTGCAGTGGTGTGCAAGCCAGAAAAGTCAGCCTCAGAATGTAGTGAAAAAAGATTTACAGGCAGCTTTTGTTTGGAAATTGGAATAGATTATTATGAAATATTCATGCACAGGCTTTTGGACAAGCATTTTTCAGACCAAGTTTTAAGTTCTGTAACATTGTTCAGCATGTTTGCCTTGGAGGGCATTGAAATACCCCAATTCACACAAAGCAATGCTGTTTCCAGAGCATTCACCTCATTCTCCTGCTGAGGGACTAGTTTGTCACCTCATGCCTTCCGCACTTCTCTTGATGTCCCTACTCAAATGACTGGGCTGTGGGCCGAAGGACAGCATGGGCTGTGCTTTCAGCTAGTTTTCCATACTTTGTTTGTACTGCTTTGGTAATGGGAGGATACTTAATAGAATCAGGAGTTGGCAGAACTCACACCACAAGACCTTGGTGTTTTGTCACCTCTTGCCCTTCCAGGAGTTCTAGAGTGTGCTGGGTCTCCATATGTGTCACTTCAGCTCACAAATCCAGCAGAAAAACAAGTTGGATGGGGCTTGGAGCAGCCTGCTCCAGTGAAAGGTGTCCCTGCCTGTGGCAGGGGCATGGAATGAGATGAGCTTTAAGGTCTTATCTAACCCAAACTAGTCTGAGACTATGTGACTGTGAAATCTGTCTTTGCTATATCTACCTCAGGGTTAGTCTGTGTTGGGCTGGCTCTGAGAAGAGATCTCGGGTCTTAAAGGCAGCAGCAGCAGTGTGGTAGTGGTGGAGGGGTGGTCAGACCTCCTGGTTCCAGCAACAGGTATTAGACTGGATCATCCCACCCAGTGTGATCACACTGCCCTGCTGGGAGGCTGTTGGCACGGTCACTCTGCAGATTAGCTTAACATGGCCTCAGAAATATCAGAGCCTGACATAGGAGGACTTGCTGAAATATTAAAAGCAAGACTTTTCTCTAGGATTCTGTTTTAGCAAATAAAGTGACATCCTTATGCAGCTGGCCAGCTCCTGCATGTTCATATCCTGTACAGAAACCAAAGTTCTTCACTTTCAGAAAATAACACTTCTTTAGAGAAAGGGCTTTAAAATACCCTGGATGCTTTCTGGCTAGAGGCATAGATTCCAAAAGAAAAGCACCACGGAGTGTCATGTGTCAGTACTTTGATCACACTAAGAGTGCTATTTTAGGGTTTTTAAGATTTTTCTCTGCACCCCAGGTAGAAACAGAGAGTCTGTTTGTTTAAATGGCACCTCTGTGGGACAGATGAGCTGCAAAGGGGTTACTTCAGCCCCAGAGTTGAAAGGCATGCACTTCTTATAGTCAGTTTTTATCCCTGCAGGAGGTCTCCAAGCTCAAGTTTTATAGCCAAAGACCTAATTTAAAGAAATGCTCACATTCATATGTCAGTGAACCCAGGTTTGGGTAAAGCCTCAACCTTAGTAAACAGTTTGGGCTGGGAAACAGAGTACATGTGGACACAACAGTTTGTGATAGGAATCAGAGCTTGCAGCGGTGCGGCAGGTCTGCAGTGCTCATTATTAGGGCTTGAGAAGGTCCTTGCATCCATGCTTGTCAGATGCCCATCATCTTGGGATTACCAGGTGTCTTAGTTTGAAAAGACAGGTGTCTGCTAAGGAGGGCAGGAGCCTCCCTTGAAGTGGAAAATGCAAACTCCCTCCCTCTGAATTATTATAATTTTGAAATTATTATCATTTCAAAAAGAGGCTCTCGGGCAAAGATATGGGGAAAAAAAATTAAAATAAAAAATAAAAATAAAAATGCAGTAATACAAAACAACACTGACAGAGTTAGAATAGGACCTGACACCCTGTGGGTCAGGGTGTTGGCAGCAGTCTGATTGAGTGGTGGCTGCAGCTCTCTTTGTGAAGAAAGTTTCCCTAATACCCAACCTGAACTTCCTCCGGTGCAACTGGAGGCCTTTGTGTTTTTCCCTTTTTATTGCTTGGTAGAGGAGCCTGAGCCTCACCTGTCACACCTCCTGTCACAAGACCCCACCTGTCATACCTCCTGTCACGAGGCCTTTGTGTTTGTTGCTTCAGTTCAGACAGCACTGGGAGTTCTGCTGTGGATCACCCAAAGTGCAGAGCAAGGGGAGATGACTGCAGATACCTGGGGCCACAGGCCATGGTGTGTTGCTGCAGCACTTCTCTGGAAGCCATTCCTACTCTCCTGCCGTAAATCAGGGCACAGAGCACAGCAGGGTGACAGCGCTAGGACATCTCGGTTGTTCCCTTCACCCCTGTGCACATCTGGTAGCTGCTCTGTCACAATGACCAGTGCTAAATTTGGCTCAGTGAGAACTGAAAGAGAACAAGAACTCTTCCTCCTGCTGCAGCGGCGTGGGGAAGGGGGGACACCCGAGGACAAAACTGATCCAAAATGTGGATCCCAGAGATAACACAAGGTGGCACACGACGCTGACTCTTCCACCTTACATAAGCCAGCCTGGGCAGCCACTGCCTGGATGTGCCTGTGGGAGACACAATCTGCATCCAGTTCTTTCCCTGTGTTTAGGCTCCTCACTGCCTGACACACCTCTGGCTCTGGTGCTGTCCCTGTGCTTTCAGATTTTACATTTTCAGTGCTGCTAAAAGAACATTTCAGTCCATTTTGAGTTATTGAATTCTTTTAAACAAACAGTAATGATTTTTATGATGTTCTGAATTTATACCTAATATGCTCAATTTCTACATTTTTAATTGTACTCAGCTTATCTTCTGTTTTCGGGAAAAACCTGTATATGTTCAGTGTGCCATTCCCCCACAGAAGGGTGCCAGGGCTGGGCAGCCCTTTTGGTGAAGAAATTTTCCCCAGTACTCAACCTTAACTTCTCTGGCACAGCTTGAGTCTGTCTCCTCTCACCATGTGGGTGCCAGACCAGTGACTGCAGACAGGCATTTGGGCTCTCTTACTGAGGACTCTGCTTTGGGGAGACACACAGAGACAGCTTTAGTCACTGCAGAATCTGGCTGGGGGGTTGGGGGTTTATTTTCTTGGTTGTTTTTTTCCACGTTGGGCATAGCTCATAATTTCAGGAAGACCTGAAATTATGGTGCTGAGTAACATCTGCACAGTGGCAGGAGGAGCTACACCAGCTACAGCCTGCTTTCTCTTCCCCTTGCCACATTTTTATCTTCTCCACTTGCTGTGAATCCTTGTGATCATCAGACAGGTCAGGAGTCAGCTTGAACTGGAATGGGACTCTATCTAGGTCATGTTTTTTGGGGGTGCTGCATTAAGAATTAAGTGCATCTAAGCCTGTCATCAGTCTGTCTTGCTTGATAAGTGGGGACATGGAGCATGTCCTGCATTTTATGGAGCAGGGACTATCCTGCTGCATTCATTTTATCAGGTGGAAAACAGGACAACAGCAGGAATTAAAGCTGCTTGGCCGTTGATTATACATTCAGGGACTTGGGCTAGGGGGATTGAGGCAGTACCTTTAATGAGCCCAAAACAAACATGTGGAAATCTAACCCTTGCTAACCCCAGTTAAAATGATGTCATCCAGCCGATTAATCTTCATTTTCACAATTAATAAAATAACCCAGAGCGCTTCTTGCCACATGAAATACACTTGAACAATTTTTCACAGCATGTAGAACCAGGAGCCAAAAAGCTTTAGTCTGCTCCCATCTTCAATATTAAATGAACACAAGCACTGACAATTTTAGGAATTGTGAGGCTAACAAGTCCTTTTGTGTGTTTTGTGTTTCCCCTGGGAACAGAGCAGCAGTAACCTCAGGCCCTGATGAATTTTTGTTCCCACAGAGCGTGCTCATCTTCAAAATTGCATATAAGTCTCCTCTTGCGAGCAGGTCCAACCACCAGTGAATTATTCAGGAGTCTGAGAATGTTTTGGACTTGTTATTTGGTCTGTTATGGAATGATTGAAAGCTAAATAAGGAGCCCCTGTGAGTGAGGACGGATGAGCCACCTGGATGTGCATGGTATATTTGCAGTCTCTGTATCCCAATGGAATAAAGGTGCTTAGGTGTGAGTTCACCTTGTAGGACCTAGTCTGCTACGTCCAGAATGGGCACAAAGCTGCTTATTCCACAGTAAGGTTTTGAGTGGGTCCTTTTCCAAAGGACTGATGGATAGAATGAGGAATGAACAGATTGTGTAGAATCTGAGAAAAAACAGACACATGGCAGGTTTGGCCTGGTGTGTTCCCAAAACAGCCACACTTGTGCCTCTGAGGAGTGTGTGTAAAGCCAGAGAAAGCATTCATGCATTATGTAGTATTTTCAAAGTGTGGAGGATGCTTAGACACCTCCATCCTGGAAATCACTGCGAGCTTGCTGGCAGAATTTAATGTGTGCTGGTTTTCCACCCACCTCCCTCACAGAAGATCTGGCTATAAAAACTCAGCAGAGCTGGTTTATGCAGCCTGTGTAGACAGAACCAGTGTCAGACCACCCTGATTTCCACAGTGTCACAGCACAAGGCTTGGCCCACGTGTCTAGTTGGAGCTGGTCAAAGTGACATGAAGCACACGTGTCACAGCTGTCCTCAGTGCTGTGCTGGGGCAAGAGTCTATGTTGTGCTGTCCCCAAATAACCATTTGTATCTTCCTGCTGAAGAACCTGCTGTCTCCTGGTTTTATGCCCTTCACACACCACAGGTGACAAAGGTACAGGAGCACAGATGCAGACAAAGCCTGCATGTGTTTTATGTCCCAGTCTGGTTGCGCTGGAGGGAAGGATGACACTCTTTATACTTCAGTTAAGTAGTGGGGGTTTTTTCTTCCAGCTCTTAAATTCATGTGTTTCTGGAGGAGAAACAGGTGGTAGTCGCAGCCTTCCCTCCCTCTGGAGCTGGCTACTTTCCCAGAACAAAGCAGGCTGTTTCCAAAATGGGCAGCTTTGGTAGAACTATGTACAGTAAATCTTCAAATACTCTGGTATTGTTAAGAGTTTCCTGTGCTTTGTTGAATCCAGCTTTAACTATTCTTTGAGCTTCATATTTTGTATACTGATGTGACTCTACGTTCTTTGTGTCTTCTTGTTCCCAAATCTTCAGCGTACAATCATCTTATCCTACCTGAGGCAGTCAGTTACCTCAATGGTGGGACTCAGCAACTTGAGGCTCAGAGATTGTTCATTCTGGTCTCACACCATGTTGGTGATTTAAGTGTTCCCACAGACAATCAGGAGAGCAAGTACTGCTGGCAGCAGTGCCTTGCTGCTGGATGCAGCAGTGCCCAGGCTTGCAGGCTTCCATCCAGGATTGCTGTTGCTATAAACAGGAACAAGGGTGCGTGTAGATCATCTGAGATTAATCTCTCCTCACAGTTGGGAAGCAGGAGTCTTTAATGCTGAGTGGGTCTTGGGAGGAGGGGGAGTGAGTACCACAAAGCAGAGCTGTTCAGCTCTCCTGTCTTCAGCTCACCAGAAGGTCTGGATCAAAGCTGGGAGAGGACGAATGGCAGAATTCAGCACTCGGGACATGTGATGTGGAGCTGAGGAGTTGCACATTGTATGCAGGCAAAGCTCACAAACAGCTTTACAGGCCATGGCAATTCACATGGTTTGGGGATAAAGAGCCTTAGCTTTGTTGGATGAGGGCTGAATTGCAGGGCCTCGTGGTTTCTTTCCCACCCCACAGAAGCCGTACATGCCCTGCTTGGAGGACGTGGAGCCGTGGCGCCCCTCCTCAGGAAGGGAGCGGAGTGATGGAGGGGTATTGAGCACACACTATCATGTTCTTGCAGCATGTGTGATGTATTGTGCATCTTCCAAACCAACCTGATGCAGTCTCCACAGAGCTCAGTGCAGGAGTTAAACTCCTCTATGTTTTTTCTCTGGTGCATGACAAATCCATGCATCATTTTCAGTGGAATGTGTTGTCGCACAGCTCGCCCCAGGAGAGGGAGGATGGGGACTGGATGCTGCATCACGTACTCTGAGCTCAGCTCTGCTGGGAGCTTATGCTGGTATAGCCAGTGTTCTGGGTGGAATAGGCACATAGTCTTGGCCTGGGTCCTGGTGGAAGCATCAGTGAGAACACCACAGCTGGCACTGATGTAGGTGCCTTGACAATCTGCAGCTTCCTCATAAGGGACAGCAGAGGTGCAGCACCAATCTCTGCTCTCTGTGATCAGGGACAGGACCCAGGGAATGGCTGGAGCTGCATCAGGGCAGGTATAGGTTGGATATCAATGGACAGCATGTGACAGCCAGACTCTGGCATGGCTGGGATTGTAGTCCTTAGTCCAGACTTCCAGAATGAGCAAGGTGAGTCTTTCCCAGCCATTCTCACATGGAGAGCTGGGAGCAAGAACACTTTTCCTCACCCTTGAGTAGATGACTATTTTGTTTGTACTGTTGAATTTCTTCCTGTTTCTGCTACTTGGGATCATCTGTTTCTATTTATATATTGTCCTTGTCTGTTTATGGTGCTTAACTAATTCTGCTTTTTGGTGCTGCCTTGATCTCCACTTCAGCCAGTTACTTAGTTAGGAAAAGATTCAAGTAACAGCTTCCTGGGGCTATTGTTCCCTAGGGCTCCAGACACTGCTGGTCACAAAGTATATTATTTTGTTCCTTAAAAGTATATAAGGTTACTGCCTTAAAATAGGAAATCATATCTCAAGGATTAGAGTCTCTTAGACCCCACTGTTTGCATTCTGTTCAGCAGTCAGTCCAGGGAAGGTTCTGGCTGGCTCAGGTCCCTGAAGGACAAGGTCATGCTTTGTGTGGGAGAGGAGGCTCTCCCTTCACACTCTCATTGCCTGGAGCACAACCAAAGTCTGTCTTGCAGAACCAGCTGAATCCAAAGTCTCTATGCACAAATTCATTAAGCTTAATGAAATAATAGGTGAGATTGGGATGTGCTGGATATTACACAGGATGCTTCACTTTGGGTGTCCTCTCTGTATCTCTCAGCTGTGCAGCATGTGACAGATCTGTTTTTCAGACTATTTAATGGCAAAATATTATTTCTGTCCACATTTCTCTGCACACAGTGTGTGAAACAGGCTGCTGACCCTGTGGGCTGCAGAAGGAGGCTTGGGTTAGGCTTGGGTTTGTTTTGGAAAAGGAAAGAGCTTTCCACTCTCTATAGTGGCACAGGCTATAATGTTCTTCCAGTTGGGAGCCCAGCCAGGATGACAGCCTGCTCCAGAGCTCCTGCTACTTGGCTCCAGGGCCTCTCACACAGAGGGGGAGTGTGTGCAGGGGAGAGCCTGCATGTAGATCTGCACCCTGTGAGGGGGGTAATGGCAGTCAGTCTTCTCTGAGCCCTCAGGACAGCTCTTTTCTTCGGATATTCAAGGATTCTCCTCTCAAATCCATTCTTGGCTGATAAAGAGGTTATTACAGCAGTCTTCTTGAGTACTGTGATTTATTCTGCAGAATGTAAAAACATGCCATTCCTACAGCACTTACTCCTTTACAGATGTATCCAACAACTGACTTCAGGTTGCATTTCAAGCCCTAGCAGGCTGTTACAGTCTGTCTATTCAGGGAGCTCTCAATAGTGGTGCAAATACATTTTTTTATCCTGTAGTGCAAAGCAGGTTGGGATTCTCCACACCTCAATGCAGATGGGCTGAGTTCAGCTCATGTGGGTAAACCAGATTTATTGTGACCCAGGGAGTCTCAGTGTCACTGGAAACAGATCCATACCCTCCCAAGCCCAGCTGGAAGCACACCCATACTCTTCCAGCTCAGCACACAGCCAGATGAAAAGGGCTTATATAAAGGAAGGAGAGGGACTTTTTATACTGGCAGGTAATGACAGGACAAGGGGCAGTGGTTTTAAACTGGCAGAGGGCAGGGTTGGATGGGAAGAAACTCTTCCCTGTGGGGGTGGGGAGATCATGGCATAGGGTGGCCAGAGAAGCTGTAGCTGCCCCTGGATCCCTGGAAGTGTCCAAGGCCAGGCTGGACTTGGAGAAGCCTGGCCTAGTGGAAAGTGTCCCTGCCCAAGGCAGGAGTTGGAATGAGACGAGCTTTAAGGTCCCTCCCAACCCAAACCAGTCTGGGATTCTGAGATTCACCACTCCCCATATTTGTAATTTATCTTCCCCACAGGTTCCTAGAAATGATGGAAGCCCGAAGCCAAGGGCACACATCACCACTAGCAACGAACGGGCAGAGCCCCTCCTCCGGCTCCCAGTCACCCATCGTACCTCCGAGCTCCGCATCGACAGGCAGCTCCAGCCCCAGCACCCCGCAGCCGCCGCTGCCACTCACCACAAGCGCCACCATCTCTCCTGACCCCGCTTCATCCTTGTCACCAGTGCCTGTCCCCGAGGCCCCGCAGCCCCCCGCACCCGCCGCAGCTCCCACGGGCCCCCCGGCCGCTGCCCCCCCGCCCAAGCGTGGCATCATCGCGCGGCTCTTCGGGACATCCCTCGCAGCCGAGCCCACTCCTCCTCAGCCAGGTAGGTGCTGGTGCTGTGTCCTGGCAGGTCGTGACCCATGGGCCTTCCAGTTTTCATTTCATTTTCTCCCTGCAAGAGGCTGAGTAGACAGGTGTGGAAGGCCACAGGCCACAGGCGCCATGCTTATGCAGCGGGTGTCCAGGAAGACTTTCATTCTCTATTTTCTCCTGATTAGCATTTTGGTTTTTCTCTGTGCTAGATGGGGACTGTGCCCAGCCAGCTGCGTGGTGGCTGTAGCATGCTTAAAAGGATGATCCTGAAGACACAAGAGACACTAATAAAATAAGTAAAATGTCAAGTTCTTACCAGGAGCAAAAACACCTCTTGAATAGCAAAAAAATTACTAGAGAAGCTATTTGAAGTGCCATCCTTGCATATGTGTTGCAATCAGGAGGGGCTTCTGTGCATAACGGAGAGAAACGGAGCACTGGGTTTAAAGGTATTCAGCCAGAAATGTAGGTCCAGGCTCCACAGCAGATCCCCCTCTGGGTAAATCTGCTCCTTCAGAGCAGGTCTGGGAGGAGGGAGCCCTCGGCTGCTGCCTCAGCGCTTGTACTCGCTGGAGCAGTGCAGCCCTCCGTCTAGACCCTGCCGAACAGAGTGCCAGGCAGAGGCATCAAGGGTTTGTTGCATGTAATTTTACTGATCTGGACCATAATTTGCCTGTCACATTCGCTTTGTTTGCAGAACTAACTGGAGCTGCAGAGCTGGCACTACCTAAAAATCAGTGACATGGTTTGAGTCAACCTTTGGAATTACTCCTCACTGTGGCTCACAGTGCTCCTGAGACACCCACAGAGAGAAAGTAGGAGGTGCTGGGGACACGGGTTGCAATTTCAGATGTTGAAATGGTCTGGTTTTAGATCTACACACAGTGTTCTGCATCCTGTGCCTCTTCCCAGATATGATACAATGCACCCATTTTGGTTTGTTTATGACTCTTCTTATCCAGAGAAAATAAAACAAAAACCAAAGAGGGGAGCAGATGTTAGAAATTCCTTGTCTATAAAAAAAACCTTTATCATTTTGATCTGTAGAGAAAAAGACAAGTGGTCTGCTAGCAGTGTTACAGTGAGTGTGTTTGGGGTTTTTCTTTTTCTTCCCTTTTTTAACTCTTTCTTACCTTGACAGCTGTTTTGGGCTTGTGACTTTCAGCCCTGATATCTCGGAATGCTTAGGGGCAGTTGCAAAAGGCAGCCAGGAAGAGCCGGTGTGTCAGTGTTGCAAGGTTTCAGGGTCTGCCAAGGGCCTGCACCTCCACTGGAATGTACCCAGGCACCAATTCACTGGAAAGCAGCTAAAAAATCATTGTTGCCAAGTAATAGTTGGTTTTTCTGGGAACTACTATTTAGGATTTCTCTTGAAGTCTTGGAGTAGTAATTGTTCTGGCTGTGGTTTAGCTTACACCATTGCTACTCTGTGGTGTTAGTGGTACTGTTGGTATGCAGAAGTGGTCTGAAGGATGTGCTAAGGAGAGCAAAATCTAGAAAAAAAAGGCACAAGTCTTGTTTTATCCAAAAGAAAAGTCTAGATGTGAAGTGCATCATAAGCAGAGGAAAAACATTGAGTATTGCAAATTCTGGAAAGGTTAATCACTTCAGGCTTCTTAGTTATGCTCATTTCATGAGTTTTCATCCTGATACCTTGAAGATGGGTAAAAGTGTTTCTACATATAAACTGTATTAAAGTCACTCTCTATTTGAGGTAGCTCTTGAGCTTTTGTTTACACAAAACATCTAAAAGTACAATGTGAACAATTCTGCCTTGGGCAGTTAAAACTGAAAAAAGCAAGAGTATAAGAGAGGGTGAACTGAACAGTCTGGAAAAGGTAAGAGAATAGTGAAGGGACATCCCCCAGGAGCAGTGCATGTAGCACAGATGTAATAAAACCTGTGGTACAGTCAGTCATAGCATTCCCTGGAGAGCAGACCCAGCCCTTGCCAGGGAGGTTTTCAGTCTGTCTAAAAGCCTGGGTCAGCCTGGTGCATTCTAAACCACAGCAACCATGATCTGTGAATGCCTTCATGTCAGACTCTGGGCTGTTTTATGTCTTGTTCATAACCTTCCTCTTCCCTCACTGTGGAGCCAGGGTCCTGCTTCATGGCTGCTGCCACCCTGAGCAGCACAGATCTGGAAAAAGCCAATTTCTGTCTTGTTTGTGGTGACACCAATGTTTTACAAATCGCTCATGCAGATCCTGCTGCTGCCACTCCTCCCCCCAACCCTGCAGCCCCTGCCAAGGTACAGAGCGTGGAGGACTTTGTTCCTGAGGACAGCCTGGACCACAGCTTTCTGGAAGACCCAGTGCCGCAGAAAGACAAAGGGAAACCACAGGCCAAACACCGTGTGGATAGTGAAAGGTAAGGAAACGAGGGTGGCAGCAGGGAGTGCAGGTCCCCAGCAGGGACACAGCTGGATGTGCAGCCTGGCTAACATGGTGCAACCATTCAGTGATTCCAGAGCAGTTAGCTGCCCCAGAGGCTTTCTGGCTGTGCTGTGGTCAGGCATAGCATTCACTGTTTCCCATTTAGTGACACACACTGCTCCCTGGGAAGGAGGAGCATCATGAAAAGCAGATTATCACCTTCCTGGTGTTGCAGTCTTGCTTTGTGCTCAGATTAAACTTCTGGGCCCTTTCCATCCCTTTCCTGGGTCAGGAAGGGATTTTCCTTCTGGCTGAACACACCGAATCATTTGAGATATTTTTCTTCTGGAACATAGTTCACTTTGCAGGGATACTATGTTTTGCTTAATGAATATTTTCCTTCTGCAGATGCACAAAGTGTGGCCAAGATCCTCTGTGACTTGGTAATATCATTCCTGAGGCACTATGAAGGGATTTGGGTTTGGTGGAGGACACTTGGGAGCACTCTATAGCTCTGTGGGATTCTGGAAGGAGGGAAAGATGGAGAAAGTCATGCTCCTTTGGGAGTGTCACTGCATGATTGCCTGCAGAATCAAAAAAAAAAAAACTCTTAGGGGGTTTCTGCTTCTTTTTCTCTGTCTAGTGTTTCTTCCCAGTATTTTCTCACTAAATTGGAGAGACACAATTTTGATAGATGATAGGGAATGGGTTGGATATTCACATTCAAAGAGTAGTGATCTATGGCTCAATGTCCAATTGAAGATGGGTGGTGTACAGGATCTGTACTGGGACATGGACTTCATCCATGAAACAGAAGGATTGAGGACACCCTTATTAGATTTACCAAGCTGAGTAGTGTGGGTGACATCAGATGTCATCCAGAACCTGGAAAACATGAGAAGTGGCACGTGGGAACCTCATGAGGTTTGCCAAGGCCAAGCTCAAGTTGCTGTACCTGGGCTGGGGCAACCTCTGGGATCAGTCCAGCCTGGAGGGTGAAGGGATTGAGTACAGCCCTGGGGAGGAAGACTTGGGGGTGCTGGTGGGTGAGAGCTGGACCTGCCCCATCCCTGGAACTCCCCTTGCCCTGGGTGGATCCCCATTGTGGGCAGCAGGGGAGAGGGAGTTCTGCCCTGCTCAGGTGAGACCCCACCTGCAGGGTTGCCTCTAGCCCTGAGGGCTAGCATCAGGAGGATGTAGAGCTGCTGTAGAGAGGAGGCCACAGAGATGCTCCAAGGCCTGGAGCCCCTCTGCTCTGGAGTCAGGCTGGGGGAGCTGGGGGTGTTCACCTGGAGAAGACAAGGCTCTGAGATGATGTTATTGCAGCCTTTCAGTATTTAAGGGAAGATGAGCATGGAGGTTTTAGCAGGGCCTATTGCAATAGGATGAGAGATGGTGGTTTTAAACTAAAAGAGGGGCGATTCAGACTAGGTATAAGGAAGAAGGGTTTTACAACAAGAATTGTGAGGCCCTGGCACAGGTTGCCCAGGGAAGTGGTGGATGCCTCATCCCTGGAAACATTCCCAGTCCAGCTGGATGGGGCTCTGAGCAAACTGATCCAGTTGAAAATGTCCCTGCTCAGTGCAGAGGGTTGGAACAAGACCCCTTCCAATCCAAATCCAATCACCGGTCTGTGATTCTATAATTATCTCCTTAAAATGGCAGAGCTGTGCTTATGCCATAGGCTGTATTTTCTCCTTTTTTCCACTTTTTTCTTTTCCTAGCTTTGATGGTTTTTAACCAAAAAAAGAAGAGGGGATTGTGTATACTGAGCTGCTCAGACAAGAGGATGTGTATGAGCCATCTGAAAGCAGACTGTCTCTTAAGAAGTGACCTAAGTATACACTCAGGCTCTGTATCTCTTTGCTCAGAATATTCCTTGCCTGCTGCCTCTTATCATCAGCACTGGATTAACTAGGAGAGTAATTAAGCACAGACACTGCTCATTTGTGAGTGTGGTGGATTCTATCTCTTTTGACATCCTTGTCATGACCCAGTGTTCACTACTTCAACCACAGCAACTTTAAATCAGTGCTGTTTGTGAGGCTCAATGCCCATGTAATGCAGGTCAGCCTGAATCATCATCCCTTGTGATGGCAGAACACGTGGATGTTTTATTAAAACTAGAAAAAAAAAAGGCAAGAAAAAAGTGGTGGTTGCTGGCAGCATGCTGGCTTACAAAGTGTCTTGCTCATGGCTCTGGCAGAGCTGAGATATTTTTCTGGGTTTAACAAGGAATTGTCAGAAGAGGCAAGCCTGACCTTCTGAGAGACTGGGTCCTGAGGTGCCCTCAGAGCTCTGGAGTGGCAGTTCTACTGTGGGTGGGAGGCTGATCCTTCACAAAGGCTTCTCTGCTTCAGAGTGTCAGTCAGTGGAAGCAAATAAGTGTTAAATTGTATAAAAAGTCAAACATGTCAGACAGGGGTGCAAGAACCCTACTCCTTTGTTTAGAGTTCATCCTTTGCTCACAGTGATACCCAGGGCAGTCACAACAGCTCTGTTTCCCTGGGAGAAGACCTTGCAGCACATCCCTGCAAATTCACATGCTCATTACTCCTCTGCAACCTGGCATCCATGGCTTGCTCTGATTTCTTCTATATGTCACACAGTTTTCTCAGTGGTCTGGCAATTTTCCATTCTGTTTCTTGCTAGAATAAGCCAGATGTGCAGAAATTAGGAGATGCAGATGTGGTTCTGACCATCACTTGCAATAATTGTTTTCTTTCAGATGTCAGTTACAGCCCCACAGTAGCAAGGAACAACATTCCAGTTCTGTTAGCCTGTCCTCGATAATTAGCTTCTGCTGCAGTGAGGAGGTGGCTGTAATTCCCATAAAATCTGCTGCAGAAATTTATCTTTGACCTAAAGAACACAGTAGATCTGTGGTTATGTCGGAATCTGTGGTATTTAAATGATCCTGAGATTGTAGAAAGTCTCTGTCTTTCAGCCCCGCTGCCAAAGAAGAAGCCATAATTGGTCTGTGCTGGTTTCAAGGTTGTTTATTCTGTTTATCTCTCACATGTTCTGCTGCCCTGCCCAGCTCTGTCCTGCAGGGCAGCGTGTGGGGCTCTGCCCTCAGTGGGATGTTACAAACATTAAATACCAGAAACTCCCTGGGCTGCATTTACAATAACGTGCCAATATCTGTCACCTACGTTAGACAGTGTGTCCCCAGCCTGAACCAACAGAAAAATGCCAACACCACAGTGAAACATGGAGGGCATGAAGAAGGAGAAAAAGGACAAGACACACCCAATTTCCTCCATCTTGCCTCCTTTGAACCCCTTATCTAGAATCCTAAAATTCTAGTTTTGCACCCATGCCGCACTAATTATTACTTATATCAAACACTCAGAGCTTGTAATTCATCCTGTAAGACTGAAAGCTCTTTTCCATGGACAGAGATCACAGACAGTGTCTCCGGGGGCTCTGTCCAGGGGGGTTCCTGACCCCCTGCCAGGGTCCCAGACCTGCCAGGGCAGCCAGAGGGACGCCCTGGATTCACACATGAAATCACTCAAACCTCAGGGAGATTTTTTTTGGTTTTAAAAAATGGAATCCTGGAAGCTGCTTTTCCCCTGTATCTGAGTGAAGAACAAGGCCTGAGAATGTCCCAGCAAGGTGCATTCAGGTCTCATGTACATTTTGAAGCAGATACCTGAGTGTTGAGCTTACATAGCTCACCAGCCTGCCTGGGTGTGCTGGAGCCAAGGGTAAGCTCCAGGACTGAAGTATCATTGAAGATGTGGCAGAAGAATGGGCCATGTTTTGAGAATTTGTGAAATTACTTCTCCTACCCAAGAGGAATCACCTTGGTGACTGTGAGCGGGAGTCCTGAGAGCACCTCGGTGTACTGAGGTACATTCACAAGGTTGGAAGGCAGCTTGGGGGCCATCCAGTTCAACCTCCCCCTCATCCTGGGCCACTCAGAACTGGTTTCCCAAAACCATTTCCAGATGAGTTTTGAATATCTCCAGAGAATCCACAGCCTCTCTGACAACCCATGTCAGTACTCAGGCATGCTCTCAGTGGAAAAAGTGTTTGCTGATGTTCGTGGGGAACCTCCTGAGTTACAGTTTGTGTCTCTTGCCTTTTGTCCTGGCACTGGGCAGCACTGAAAAAAGCCTGTTTCCATCTTGTTTGTACCTCCTTCAGCTGTTTAAATACCTTTATAAGGTCCCCTCAAGCCTTCTCCAGGCTAAGCAGTTCTGGCTTTCATGTGGGAGAGCCCTTCCTCATGTGAGCAATGCTCCAGTTGGTTAATCATCCTCATGGCCTTTCACTGGATTCACTCTCTCTTTGCTGCGCACTGGACTCCAGCCGTGGCCTCATTGGTGCGGAGCAGAAGGGCAGCATCACCTCCCTGACCTGTTGGCAGTGCTTTGTCTTCTGAAGACCAGGACACCATTGGCCTTCTTGGCAGCAGGGGCACCTTGTTCAGCTTGGCATGCCCCAGGCGTGCAGTGAAGTCGTGGGTTTTTTTAAATGGCATGTTGTGGTTCTCTGATTTGCAGTAGAGAACTCCCAGAATCAGTTTCTTTGCCAGTTAATTAGGAAGGTATTTCAGTCTCCCAGTTTGCTGTTTCAGAACTTAATTTGCTGCCCTGAGCCAGCATGGATGTGAGTGCACCAGAGGACCTAATCTGGCCCCAAAGCATCTCGCCCTTGGCTTCTGCTGGGTCAGGTGGACTGGGTCCCTGGGGGAGCTGAAGATGTCTGAAAGCCATTTTATGCTTTACCTGACAGTGTTCCTGATCTTTCTTTTCTGCATCCTTAGACATTTATCTTAAACATGGATTAGATGTCTGTGTCCTCACATCTGAAGGGCTTTGAAGTGGTTGTTTGCTTTTATGGATCTGTTATGGATTCCATGATGCCCAGCTCTGCTAGCCCAAGGGAGGGAAGGTTCACAGTAGAAGACCAACCTAGAACAGCCACACAGGCTCATCCTGCAGCATGGGAGTCCCTCAACTTACCTGCTTTATTAGAGCTTAGTTTTTTTCTCTTTCTTTAGCCCCACAAAAGGTTGTGGCAGGAGTCCTTGAGCTCCCGGGGCTATGGGAACATGGCCTAGCCAGGTTTGAGGCTGTGAGCTCAGGTTGCAGCAGGGTTTGTTTCCTCCCCAGCAGCCAGTCTGTGACACACTGGAGGCTCACAGAGGACACCCCAGCAGGCTCTGTGGTCACTAGCTCAGAGCAGAGCTCAGTGAGCAGCATCATTTTGGGGGGGTACCTGCACCTGCAGACACTTTAGCTCAGTGCTCATGCCAGCTTGGCAGTGCTTCAAGGGCTGCAGGAAGGGGTGCAATGTGATTGGGTTTGCATGCTTTGCCTTCCTTCCAGCTGGAAGCTCAGGACCACAAGCTGATCGTAGTTTTGCCTTGTCAGAGCCTGTTTATACTGAAGTAGTGATTTTCCTGATGTATATTCACTCCACTGCTCTGCTCTTACGCTGTCGCTCAGCGATCTGTGTTGGCTGGAGATGGAGGCAGGGTTCTCACTGCGGAAGGACGTGACCCACTTTGGTGAGGGGATATACACGTGGGGGTGTACACCCATATCGACTGGGAAAGCTGGAAATGCTTCAAGTCTGTGTGGAGTATGGAAGGACAGTGGCAGCAATCTCTTCAGAGCCCCTGTGCTTAATAGAGCAGTGATGTGTTGAAGAAAGGTGGTGTGTCTAGCTCAGAATAATATCCTGCCATTTTTAGGATGCAACTCCATTTTCTTTTCAGTGCATTTCAAGAGAAAACCCTGCCAATGCTTTGAAAACCTCAGGAATCACTCACTTGTCATTCCTTCAGCCTCAGGGCTCCTTGGGCACCAGTTTTCCTCTCCTTTGTGTGGCTGGGCTGTGTGCCTTCATCCTGGCATGGTGTGAGAGCTGCAGTGTTAGTGATGAAGGGGCTCTTCAGCAGCCTGGCCCTGCTCAGTAGGGCACTGAGAGCAGGTCCTGAGAGCAGAGGGATCCATGCCAAGGCAGAGGGAAGGCCTGGTCCGGGTCTTAGCCAGACTCCAGCCCAGACAAGCAGTGGTTGTGATCACTTGTGTCCCATTGTCACAAACAGCTCCATTGTCTGTTGTTGGCAGATGTATTAACTCTTTAAAACTACCTTTTCAAGCAGTACCCAGCAATATAGAGCAGCCAGAGTGAGCAGTTGCCATCATCCCAACTGTTTTTAAGGTATTTCTCATCTCACCAGCACACCATATTCCAGTGTCTTCCAGTGCTAGTCCTGTGCTGGGAACACCACTTACTTCCAGTTGAAGGATTTTAGGGTTTTGTTTATGTCTGTGCAATCTAATCTGTTCCAAGCTATAATATGTTTTTTGTCTTTGTATAAACAGAAGGTTGTGCTCATACCGTCCAGGTGGCATCATTAAAAGGGCAGAGACTTACATTTGGGGTTATCAGGAAGGAACTGGTTATCTCTTGTGGATGAAGCAAATAGAACAAGGAAAGGTGATGGCAGAGACTCATCAGCTGAGCCTGAGGAAAATATCTGTATTCCTGACATGACCAGATTTTTCATAAAGTGTTAAAATTTTGAGTCCTAAGGACATTCGGACAAGAATTCTCTATTTCAGTTTCAAAGTTCTCTCAGGCTGTCTTTGAACACAGAACTGTGCTACATCCAGGGAGGCTGACAGACTCCCAGCTCTGGCAGTGTGTTCTTAGGTTAATTTAATTTGGGCAATGTTAAAGCTTGGCTATGGTGTCTGTCTATCTGCCTGCTTCAGGGAGCACTGCAGAAACAGAAATGGTTCCAGGAAGCTAATAGCTGTCAGTGAACTCCCATAGCAGTGACAGTGTATGATCAGGTTTAATTACAAGATGTGGTGATGAAGACAGGCATTTCCCATGGTTTGACTGACTGATCCTTATATGGTGGATGGAGCTTCATGTTCTGATGAAGCTGTGGCAACAGGCTTCTCTACCTCTGAGGCTCATCTCCAGCCACACATTTCCAGCTGGAGGGGCAGCAACTGCTCTGTGACACATCCTGCTGTGGCCCTCTAGGTGTGGGGCTCGTGCCACTGCTGCAGCCTGCAGAGGGCAGGTCCCACCCGAGCTGGGCAGTGGCAAGGGAAGGCTGGCAGTGCACAGAATCACAAAATCACCATCTGGTTTGTGTTGGAAGGGACCTTAAAGCCCTTCCCATTCCAGCCCCTGCCATGGGCAGGGACACCTTCCACTATCCCAGGTTATTCCAAGCTCCATCCAACTTGGCCTTGGACACTTCCAGGGATCCAGGGGCAACCACAGCTTCTCTGGGCATGCCGTGCCAGGGCCTCACCACCCTCACAGGGAACAATTCCTTCCCAATATCCTGTGTATCCCTGCCCTCCTTCAGCTTAAAGCCATTCTCCTCATCCTGTCCCTCCTGACCCTTGTTCAAAGTCCCTTTCCAGCTCTATTGGAGCCCCTTTAGGCACTGGAAGGGGCTCTAACACCTCCCCAGAGCCTTCTCTTCTCCAGGCCTAACTATCCCCATTTTCGGCCTGTCTCCAGAGCAGAGGTGCTCCAGCCCTTTAATCATCAGCTGCCCCAGGCTGGGGATGTGTCCCCAGAAGTTGGCTGTACGAGCCAGGCCAGTCTCAGTCTTTGTGCTGGGGGAGGCCGGTCTGTCCAGCACCTCCTGAGGTGCTGTGTCTGATCACTCTCTGTGTTGCAGTGATGGAGAGGCACCTGGTGAGAACCCCATGGTGGCAGGTTTCCAAGACGACTTGGATCTGGATGACAAAATCCCCAGTGGACCAATGCTGGCAGCAGAACGAGTGCCAAGCAAGAACATCACCCTCTCCAGTGAGGAGGAGGAAGAGGTGAAGGACTCTAAGGTCATCCTCATATCTGATGGAGACAAAAACACAGAGCAGGAAAAAAAAAGGTACAGAGCATAGACTGAAGTGTGGGGTTGTGCTGGCAAACCTGGATCTCTCCTCCATCCTGACACTGACTGTGTGTGGCTTCTGGGAAGTCTTGGTGTCTCTGTCTGCCTGTTCTTCAGCTGTGAGCTGGGGCTCTAGTTACTGTAGGTATAGCTGCTATGTGTGGTGTGTCCTACCCCATGCCTTGGAGCACTGTGCTCCTGTGTCACTGGGGTGGTTCTGCATGCTTTTCCTCAAATTTAAACAAGAGTCTGGAACTAAGTACCAGAGTGGCTGTTTGTGGTGGTGTGGGGAGGAGAGAGGAGTCAAGTCTTGGGTAAAGGGAGTGGAGTAACTCACCACACCCTGTGCTGGGGAATGGTGATGTTTTCCACATACCACATCCTGTGGGGTGAGAGTTAGGATTAGGGACACAAGGGTTATCCTCAGCATGAGTGATGCATTTGACTCCACACCCCTATAGGATGCACTGCCTTTCCCAGTGGGCTGCATGATGCAGCCCTCAGGCAGGCTTAGCTGTTAAGTGTGCCTTGCTTCACAGAATAGGGTGGACAGGCTCTGACAACTTGTTTCTTCTCAGGTCTTCCAGAAATTCTCTGAAACCCCAGAGTGAAGCAATTTTGACCAAAGCAACTGACCCGAGGCCTCCTGACAGCTTACCTCCCCGTTCCGGGTCTGAACGAAACAACAGCAGCAAGGGCAACATGAGCCTGGCAGCTCCTGCTGCTGCCCCCACAGCGGCACCCCAGGCCTCAAAGGCCACTGCCCAAAGCAAAGGACTTGCTTCCAAGCAGAAAGTAGTCAAAGAGGAGAAGCCTGAGGAGTCTGACAGTGATCAAGAGGGACCAATAGCTACTCAGATGCTTTCATTTGTTATGGATGACCCAGACTTTGAAAGTGAAGATTCTGACAGCCAGAAGAAAAAAATGGTAAATAACAAGCCCATGTTGCTGTGAGCTGTGCCAAGCTGAGCTGGAAAGGTTGAGGCATTGCCCTGAGCAGAGACTTCATCTGATCTCCCCTCCCTCAGCAGTAGTTGCAGCAAGGCAGGTGCTAAGCAACCTGCAGAGTTTGATGTGAGCACAAACCTAGTAATGCTCTGAGTATGGAAGCCACCTGGCAGCAAGACCCCCATAGAATCACAGATGCATAGAATACCCCGAGTTGGAAGGGACTCAGAAGAATCATTGAGTCTAGTCCCTGGCCTTGCACAGACCCTCCACCAACCCCACCCTGGGCATCCCTGGCAGCGCTGGCCAAAGGCTCCTGGAGCTCTGGCAGCCTCGGGGCCGTGCCCATTCCCTGGGGAGCCTGGGCAGTGCCAGCACCTCTGGGGGAAGAACCTTTTCCTAATATCCAGCCTAGACCTTCCTGACATGAGGTTTGTGTTTACAAACACAAACAAGATTTGTGCTTGTGTGTTTTACGGTGCTGTTTACTCTTAGCCAGTCCAGCAGTGTGGGAGGTATGAAATGTAAAGCTGCTGGGTTTTCACGTGAACTATAACATGCAGAAGTGTGTGTCTGCCAAAAAGAGTGAGCTCCTTGCAGTCAATCCAGCAATAAAAAGGCACCTCTTGTCCTGCACCTCTTCTCTGAACTGGTCAGAACTTGCTGCATGACTTGAGATATTTATGATTTTGGTGACCTCTACTCACAACCTGCAGAGCAATCTCTGGAAACTGCTAGCAGTGATTTGGGGTGGGCAGTGGCTGTTAAGGAGTGTCCTGATATCTGGGTTTGCTGGTGTTCAGGGGGTTTCCCCTGTGTTGGCATCATTCTGAATCCTGTTGAAAGGACTGTTGTCCCAGTTTCTTTGACCTTACTAATGTGTCATGCTGTTTATTAAGTAATTTTCTATTCATTTTACATCTTCCTGTTTTTCTTGATGATTTAGTATGAAACCAAAAGTATTTGGATCAAGTTTCCATCTTTTGCATGCTCCAGTGAGAAGGGATCCTCCAGTGATGAGGAAGCAGCAGTGTCAAGGAATGCCTGACCCAGGGAATGCTTTCCCACTGCAGGCTGTACTGGTCAGGCAAAGCAGTACAGCCATCGCCATTGGCAGGGTGGGGGCACTGCCTGAGCAGCAGCACAGGGGCCGTTTTCCATCCGTGTACAAAGGTACAAGAAAAGGTTGGATAACAGATTCTGAAGAGGATCAGTTGGCAGGTATCAGATGATCATTAAACTGAATTTCCATTCTCATCATGCAGAGATGGAGGATTTTGGGGTAATTTCCAGGCTCTGCAGCATCCGGGTTTTAGCCCACACTGAAGGGGCAGGTTTGCCCTGGGAGCACATTCCCTTTTGGCTTGTTGAAGGGAATTATTCTGCAGACACACTCTGCTTCCTCAGCCCTGCTGCCTCTGGTACCTGAGACCCACAGAGCTGCACAGCAGAAAGCATTTGTCACTCAGGGCTGGAGGGGAGTTTTCAGTCTATTAGATTGGATTTTCCCAGAACAGAGATGCTTTCCCAGGGCAGGAGGAAGCTGATGCTGGTGAACTAGCAGAGTTGAAGGCCTCATTTAATCCCTTTATATTGGGAATTTGATTTCAGCAGGGTCAGTGTGAAGTTCTCAGAACACCCTTGCCAGTACCACTGCAACTGAGGCATTTTACCAAGGCAAAAATTAGAGTTCATGAGATCCAGGACATTGATTTCCAGGCAATAACAGCTCAGTTCAGCTGGCATTTCCTTCCCTCCTCCCCACCTGCTGACATTTGACATTTTTGTATGCAAAATGCTTAGAGATTTTGGTTGAAGCATTTGTCAGCTTTGTCTGCCTTTGCTTCTCTCTAGAATGAATTCCCAGTGCGGGAAGATCTCTCTGAACTATCTGAAGATGATACCTCACTGGCAAAGCCTCCCCAACCTGTGAAAACAACAGTCCCCTCCTTTAAACTGAAAAATGACTCCGATCTCTTTGGCTTGGGTTTGGAAGAAGCTGGTCCCAAGGAGAGCAGCGAGGAAGGTAAAGCTCACACCTTATTTCCACTCTTGTTGCTTTTGTTTGTCAGGCATCTGGTTTTTCCAAAGTCTTTCCAGGGTGTCAGCAAACCAATTTGCACTAAATAAAATACCCTCTAACTTCATGCAGTGCCCTGTGTGAGTCTGTAATCTGGTTTAACACAGCATAAATAGCTTTTAAGTTTTTCCCCATGAGGATGAGAACTTGGCTTGTCCCTGGCACCAGCCATGGGTTATTTTTGTCCCAGCTGCAAGCAGAAGCACATCTTTCACAAGCTGCTGCTATATAAGCCGTTCTGCTTAGCCCTATGTGCTTGGGAAGTGGTTTTCAGCATTGCATTCCAGTGTCCACCCCCTCCAGAATTGGGATCAACTTGAACAAAATGCTCTGACATACCCTGACAATTTCCTCTTCTCTTTTTGGGAAAGATGGGGTGGGATCCTAATCACAACCTAAGCATTCCTCGGGCTTTATTTTTTACAAAAAAAATTTGTTCCTGAGGGAAAAAATCCTACTCATAGAAATAATTCCTGCTGTCTAGGCATTACTGCAGAGTGACTTCCTGTAGACCTGCCCCGATGTCAGCATGAAAGATGCAAAGTTAAAGATTTAAGGAAGGAAAAAAGCTGTGAGCAGCACCAGAGAGAGCTCCTTGAATAGCTGTTCCAAAAGTGTGAGGAAGGTGTCGCAGGCTGCCATGGTTCTATGAGCTTGTCACTCTGAGCTGCTGAACAGCAGAGCTTGAAATAGCTATAAGTGCATCTGCAGAGGCCCAGGTCAATAATTTAACTACAGTTTGGATTCTTCAATAATTAAATGTGGGTTCCTCCTATCTCCTCTTTTGGTGATAAATATAAAACCATTTCTCAGTCGTCAGTGATTAGAGTTTGACTGGCAATTAGGCTTCTCCATGGCTGCATTTACACGTCAGCTGAGGAAAAAGGCATGTGTAGGTAAGAGTGACAGTCAAACAGCACATGTGAAAAGTGGTGCTGCTGTGAAGCAGCCAAGCAGGTACTCCCCTGTTCGAGGAGGTTTTGTGCAGAGGCAGTGGACACTCAGCAACCAAGTCATCAGCCATAGTCATATCTGATACATGTGATAGGGATGGACTCTGGGACTCATTTGGTAATGTGAAAGTATTCGCCCCTGTAGAGCAGTGCTGCAGCAGGGATGCTTTGGGGATATAATTTCCATACACAATGTGAGCAGCAGTGAGTGTTGGCCTGCCAGGGTGTCCCATCTGCTGATCCATGTCCTCAGTTGTCCTCAGAGAAGATGCCTGGGAGGACTTCCATCAGAGGGGAACTGTTTTCAAGAGCTCTTCTTCGTTTCTGGAAATAACAATCCAGTCCCAAATTTGGCCTTTTGGACCAGTTTGTAGAGTTAGTCTCTAGATGTGTTTCTTAGCTGTGACACAGTGAACATTAGGTCAATGTTGATCACACAGATCATATAATGCTCATAATTAAACGAGACAGATATGGTTGAGTCAGGGCGTGAGTGCTGAGGCCTGTGTTGGTTCCCAAAGGGGCACAGTTTGGCCTGGAGTGCTGGCCTTGCCTTTGCCCGTGGATTCCCAGGATGGAGCATTTTGTTCTCAGAAATGGGGCCAGGGCAGAATTACAGCTCTTATCATTTAAATGAAACACAATGTTCTGGGGTTTTGTTTGTTTGTTTGTTTGTTTTAACAGATAAACAAGCTTCTAAGGAGAAAAAGAAGAAGAAGAAGAAAAGCAAAGAGGTACTGGTAATTAAATAGATCTACTGTGTTACCCATCTGCCAAGGACAGACATGGCCTTTCATGGTTTCCTCCTTGGAAAAGGGATTTGGTGGACTCCCTTCCATGCTCACATCCTGCACCTCTGATCTGTGCCTCCTAGGCTCTGCAGACCACTGAACTTCAAAACAAGCTTGTAGAGCAGTTGAATTTTGAAAAGGGAATGTGTGAGTTTGTAAAATACAGGATGAGGAAGAGCAGTGCCTCTCTGCTGGACTGTGTGTTCATAGCACCATGATTTTCAAGCAGAGGGGTGCCCACAACATATATCTCATGGATAGTGAGGGAAGCCTGCAGGAGGCTTTGTTTGTGCCATTTAAGCCTGTGCAGTACCATGGTATTGTTGGGCACAAACTCGGAAAGACCAGTGCCCTGTATAACCCAAATGGTCTGTCTGCTTTTCTGTCCAAACTTACAGAAGGGCCTTCGGTGCTTCTACCTGAGTAAGATTCCTAATTCAGTTGAAGACATCCCTGCCCATGGCACATGGTTGACTAGGTGCTTTCCAGCCCAAACCATTCTTCAGAGTTAGGTGTCAGGGCAGTACATCCTGGGTCACTGGCACACTCAGAGCATTTGCTAATGAAAATGTTCTCATTTTGCAGGAAGAGGACAAGTCAGTGAAAAAGAAGAGCAAACACAAGAAGAGCAAAGAGAAGGAGGAGAGCAAAGAGGAGAAAGAGAAAAAGAAAAAGAAAAAGAAGAGCAAGGAGAAAAGCAGCGAGATAGATGAACTTGAGGCTTTTCTTGGCGGAGGAGGAGTCAGCATGAGCAAACCACGGGGCGGGGGGGACTATGAGGAGCTGTAGTTTGGCTGCAAGTGGATTCTGCACCATGGCTGTCTCCATCTTCTCTGATGAGTCACTCCAGGACAGGCACAGATGTGTAAAGCTTTGGCCCTTCACTGTATGGTCTCTCAAACCAGAATGAGCAAAACAAAAGCTTTACATCTGTGTGTGCTGCTCTGGCGCATCGTTACACAAAGAAAACCAAGCTGAGATGTACATGAGCCAGGGGAATGTTCAGGGCATGGCTCCCAGGCCTGCTGCCAGGCTGTCAGTTTTTCTCCTTGCAGAGATGCCCCATCAGGTCACTGGCAGGCTGTGGGGCGAGGAGACCTGCCTCCTGCTCCGTCCCTGCTGCATTCCACTCCTGCACACCTGAAATTCCTGTCTTGTTAAGAGGAGTGCAACAAAACATGCTGCATGAACACATCGTGCTCGACTGTCTCAAGTCTTTAACTTCTTATCCTTCCTATTTTTTTAAGGAGAAAGATTATATTGGCCATTGCTTCACCTGGCAGTTGATGAGCTTTAAGTCAAGCAGATCATGCTGTGATACTACTCTCTAAAGCAGCAGGCGCAGGGACAGTGTGAGAGAGAGTGTGATTGTTGAAGTCCTTTGAACAGGACCTTTCCGCACAGCAGCTTAATTAGCCCTCACTGGTGCTGCTGTTGGAATTCATGAAGCCCATTGATTTCCGTGGCCCCAGTGTCTCAGACACTACATGTAAGCTGCTATGCAGTTTGGGAAAATAATGAAAAGTGCAAAGCTAACCTGAAAGAGAAAAATCAGTGCTTTTCTGCATTTCCCACCCTTGAATTTGCATATTCCAGAATCCCCTGCTGCTGGGACCTCTCAGGGACATGACTCCATGTGGAAATGAAGATACCCAGAGCTTCAGAATTGGCTACAGGGCAGTGTTGGCATGGCAAGGCATTTGCTTCTCAGGCATTTTCCAGTCAGGCTGTAAACCCTGGCTGCTGCTCTGTGCCAAGAGGGACCAGCACTGCAGCTCAGCCGCATCCATTCTGCTCCAGTCCTGTCCATCCTGCAGCCAGCCAGTGTGCTGCCTTTCCTGCCCCAAGCAGAGAGCCTCCTCTATCCCATGAGTTTGGGAAGTCTTTTCGTTTTTGCTTTCAACTTAAACCTATGGATTAGAACCTGCTCAGCAGCTGTTGGATGAGCACTACGGCCTCCCCTTGGCACTCACCTGTGTCTCAGTCATCAGTCCCTGTGTTTGATGGAGCTGGTTAGTTCTCTGTACCCCTCTTGGTTTGGGTCTGGGGTCCCTTTGCTCAGCTCAGATGGTGACGCTTCCTCCAGGTTCTGTGCATTACATTCCCCTCTTCCGTGTAAGTTGATTTGAGGTTTGGTTTTGTTCTCCCTCACCCCTTTCTGTTGTAAAATGTCAGCCATGAAATCCAAACTGGAGTTTCCTTCTGCATCCCTATAAAGCAATGTGTTCTTTTGATCCATTAACCACTCCAGACCTGTCTTGACCAGCAGGCATTTCCTGCTTCATTTTTCTTTTTCTTGTGCCCAAAATTCACTTGTAACCATTTCCCTATAAAACAAATGGTTTTTTGCTGCATGAGCAGTGTGTTGTTCAAGTCTGTCTGCTATTAGCATTTGCCTCTGAGCATTCCACATGGCACTGTAGGGAAATTGCATGGGACAGTTCAAACTTGGCACATCCAGGGAGGAAAACAAGATTGAGACGGGACTTGTTTGTGGCCCTTCTGGGCAAAGGCAGGTGGAAGTTCAAGCCTCAGCTGCCGCAGTCCCAAAAGTGCTTCTGTTCCATCAGGATTTTGGGTCATGTTCCATTTTTGCATTGAAATACCCTGGTACAGTCCATTCTGACTATAAAGCTCTGTTGTACACTTGTCTCTGCACATCATCTTCTATCCCAGAGCCCCTGTGCCTGGGCTTGGGAGCTGGGTGTCACTCCTTGTGCTGCTGTGCTCGCACACCTCACGAGATGGGGCACCGAATTAAAATCCATTCCAAAAAAAAGGAGCTGAACATAAAACCTATGAGTTCTGTCTCCAGAACTGATGGCTGCCCTGAAAGAGCTGTTGCTTCCCACAGCGTGGAGGGGGCGGGGGTTCTGGTCAGGTGTGGGTACAAGGGGCTGCACTGGTGGCCAGTCCCTGCTGACACAAGCGCTGGTCTTGATGTGTCTGGCTCCTGTGCCAGGTTTGCTGCCATAGGAGCCTCCACATTCCCTGCAGCTTGTCAGCACAAGAGCTCAGGCAAAAACAAGCAAAGATGAGTCATTCTGCTCCAAAATACTCCTGTAAAAGAGAAAAGCAGATGCATGAGCTGGCTCTACTGACACTCAAGACACAGGAGGGTGTGTGGCATGGTTTGGCTTCTGCAGCAAGGCCAGAGAAATCCCACCCTGTGGGTAAATTGGGAGTGTGGAAGGGAAGAGCAGCAAAAATACTCTTTATAATGCACACAATCCCAGCATGATTTAGGTTGGAAGAGACCCTAAAGCTCATCTTATTCCAGCCTCCTGCCATGGGCGGGGATGCCTTCCACTAGACCTGGTTGCTCCAAGCCCTGTCCAACCCCATCTTTTTAGGCTATGCTTCTCCCTTTTCCAGGGAATGCTGAACTGGTTTGAGCTACAGCGCGAGCGGTGACCCAGAGCCAGCAAGCGTGAGGGAGGGGAGAAGGAAACAGGCCTTGTTTGAGCCAGGCTTTCCCGTGCCATCCTTTCAAAGAAGCTAAATATAAAAAGCATGTATGTGCCTGTCATTATGGGGAAGCTTCTGCAGGATCACAATGATATAAATAGTTACTGCAAGCATTTCTGCAGGTACCAGGGTATTTGCTTTTGATTTTATCACTCATCCAAAAAAAAAGAGAAATCAAGAGCTTGAGGCTGAGGAGCTGCAGTTTCTTGGAAGTAGTGGTGGCCAGAGCTGCAGAGGCTGGGTTTTAAGCACTAGGAGGGAAAAGTGCAGATTTATCACTGCATTTTGGCTGGGGTTGTTTACCCAGCACAGCATGGGGAGCCTCATCCATCGGGGAGAGGGTAGTACCTGCTCCCCTTCCTGCCTGGGATCTCCAGGGCCACCAAAGTGTCACGGCTTCCACTGTGCCAGCTTGGAGCCGGATCACTCCGGGTAAGTCAGGAGAGAACTCCGAGGGCCCCTGCTCTCCCCCAGTGTCCTCTCGGCCGGGATGGCCCAGGTGCTCTCCCATTCTCTGCAGGTATTTATTTGGGGAGTACTCCTTGCTCTACCCACCCCTGGAGTGGGACGACCCAGCGTGAGAGTTCACAGCTGTTGTCACTCAGCAGCTCCGGTGGGTGACAGTGCAGCTGCTGTGGGTGCTGTGAGGGGCTGTGGGTGCTGTGAGCGGCTGTGGGTGCTGTTAGGGGCTGTGGGTGCTGTTAGGGGCTGTGGGTGCTGTGAGGGGACAGTGGGTGCTGTGAGGGATAGTGGGTGCTGTGAGGGACTGTGGGTGCTCTGAGGGGACTGTGGGTGCAGTGAGGGGTCAGTGGGTGCTGTGAGGGGCTGTGGGTGCTCTGAGGGATAGTGGGTGCTGTGAGGGAATAGTGGGTGCTGTTAGGGGCTGTGGGTGCTGTGAGGGGACAGTGGGTGCTGTGAGGGGCAGTGGGTGCTGTGAGGGGACAGTGGGTGCTGTGAGGGGCAGTGGGTGCTGTGAGGGGACAGTGGGTGCTGTGAGGGGACAGTGGGTGCTGTGAGGGGCTGTGAGTGCTGTGAGGAGCTGTGGGTGCGGTGAGGGGACAGTGGGTGCTGTGAGGGGACAGTGGGTGCTGTGAGGAGCTGTGGGTGCGGTGAGGGGACAGTGGGTGCTGTGAGGGGACAGTGGGTGCTGTGAGGGGCTGTGGGTGCTGTGAGGGAACAGTGGGTGCTGTGAGGGGAGAGTGGGTGCTGTGAGGGGACAGTGGGTGCTGTGAGGGGACAGTGGGTGCTGTGAGGAACAGTGGGTGCTGTGAGGGGCTGTGGATGCTCTGAGGGGCTGTGGGTGCGGTGAGGGGACAGTGGGTGCTGTGAGGGATAGTGGGTGCTGTGAGGGGCTGTGGGTGCAGTGAGGGGACAGTGGGTGCTGTGAGGAGCTGTGGGTGCGGTGAGGGGACAGTGGGTGCTGTGAGGGGACAGTGGGTGCTGTGAGGGGACAGTGGGTGCTGTGAGGGGCAGTGGGTGCTGTGAGGGGCTGTGAGTGCTGTGAGGAGCTGTGGGTGCGGTGAGGGGACAGTGGGTGCTGTGAGGGGACAGTGGGTGCTGTGAGGGGCTGTGGGTGCTGTGGGTGCAGTCAGACTCCAGAGCAGACTCACACTGATCCAAGCCCAGCAGGCTCCACCATGCCTGACAGCCTCGTGGCTCCTCAGCTGGGAGCCAGTTTTGGGGAGACTGTCCATCTGCCCTGCAGCAATGGCCTGAAGCTCCCCACCTCTTCCTTTCAGTGCCTGCTGTCCCCAGGATTCCTCTTGTGTGCACAGCATTGACCTCCTGATGGCCCGGGTCTGCTTGGTACAGGTGGCTGGCCCAGCCTGCTGGAAAGGCTCTTCCTTACATTATTCTGTCCTAGTGGTTGACATAAAACTCCTCTCTGCAGGTATCCAAGCTGCTGAGCGGCGTGCCCCAGCCCTGCAGGGTCTGTGCCAAAGGGACCATGGTTGATACCTGGCCCATGGCTGCCTCCTGTCAAACCCCAGGTCAGGAACAAGCACCAGGACAAGCAGACAGGTCCCTGCAGTCTGTCACCACCACTTCAGCTGTTTCCCTGCCCATAGCAAGTGGTTGAAACTAGCTGATCTTTAAGGACCCTTCCAAACCACACCGTTCCATGATTTTATGATCCCTGTGGAAAGCTGTACATCACCTTCTGCCCTCGCACTCAGGAGCTGCCATCCAGATTTATTCCTGGACAATTTATGCTGATTTGTTACTTTGCCAGGGCTCTTGTTTAAGTGCTGCTCCCTCTTCACTGCCCTTTACAATGGAGCTCTGTCCCTGCTCCACTATTGTCCTGCTGGCCAGGGCTGGTTCTTCATGATTCCCATATAATCCTTCTCCTACTCACCCTGGGTGGGATGGGCTGGCCTTTTGCACAGTTGTAGCCTGTGTCACCAGGGCACCCAGCCTTCTTCATTCCCCATGGTCGATGCCAAAGGCCACATGCAAGGAGTGTCCTGATGGTGCCCTTTGAGAGATGCAGCTTTGCCCTATTTCTGTTGCTCCCATAAAATCATGACAAGCCTTTCCCTGGCTTGCCAAGGCCTGGGGTGGGAGTTTGCTTCCTTCCTCCCAGCAGTGAACATGAAAAGGTCATTGGAAGTTGGATTTTAGCAGGCCACAAAATGAATGAGTAAAGCTGTGAGTGCTCTTGGAGGCTTTGGGGGGGGTGTGGGGCAACCTGTGACTGCCTCCAACCATGGATCAGGATGGACCTGCGTGGGGGCTGGGTTGCAGCCACAGTGGGGTTTCTGCCTGCAATGTCCCTGCATCCAAGGGTCCAGTTGCTTGGAGAGCCCATGGTGCTTCCCTGTCCTTTGGGATGCCCCAGAGCAGCCAGATGAGTGATGGTGGGGAAATCCTGCAGTAGGACAGGTTTAGGGACTGGGGCTGTAGCCTAGCAACAACCTCAATCATGGCATAATAAAATTTATCTAGCACTGGCTCAATCTGCTGCATAAAGATATCAGGGCAAGTAGTTGAACCTTTTTAACTGATGGGTTTGCCTCCAAAACCAAGCTGGAGCATCTGAGGCATGTCTGGAGTTTTCTTGGCCCAAAGGTTCTCCATGGTGAGTATCCAGGTTTCCTCTCCCAACCCTGTGGCAGAGTGGTTGCTGAGCAGAGGGAATTATCCTCTGGTACCTTCAGTGAGCAATCTTGGGCCATCCCGGGAGCTCAGGCAGACCCTGGTGAGGGGAGGTATGATGAGCTCAGCTAAACTCAGGACTCGGGCAGCCTGTGGGAAACAGGTTAAAGCTGGGCTGTCTACCTGCATGTGTGCTCTGCTTGGAGCTACATGGGGATACTGCCATGAAGCAGCCAGTCTGGGAACCCCTTAAACTCCTGGTTACCCCCAGGTTGTTGGCAGGTTCTGCCTTAGGGCAGGAGCAAGGAGGGGAAGCAATGGTTCAGCTCTCCATCGCCACAGAGGGGAGATGGGAGGCGGATGGAGGTGCTGTGCCTACTGGTGGCAGGGGACACCTTCAGGATGTCAGTCCCACTTCTCCATGCTCCAGGATGGCACAGAAAGCACTCCAGTGCCTGAGGCTTGGCCTGTGCAGCAACCACGGCTGCAGCCCAAGCTGGTGTCTGCAGCCTGGCTGCGGGAGGGAGTCAGCCAGCTGGGGAAAGAGCAGGCTTTTCCCTGGAGCTGGCAGGAGAAACATCCCTCCCTGTGGCTTTGGTAGGCAGCGGCTCCATGCAGGTGTGAGGTGATGGGTTCCCACCTGCTGGTGCCGTCACCAGTGTCTGGGCACCCCTGCAGCTATGGGAGGTCCTGAGTGACCAGGCTGCTGTGTGGCATCACTGAGGGCAGCTGGAGGGAGGCTCGGCATCCTGCCCAGTGCACTGGGCAACACTGAGATCCCTCCTCACAGCCACTGCGGGACACAAGGGTATCTGAAACAGGGTTTGCCTGTGGCCCTGCTGTGGGTCAGCAGATGCATGCCCTGAGCCTGATCTCTAAACTGCTTTCCTGGAGCCTTTGGGGACTAGGTCCTTCCCAATGAACCCCAACAGGAATGTGGGGTAATAGCTCTCTGTGCAAGCAGGGACTTCTCAGTAGCTGCTCAAAAGGCTTCATCTCACCGTTGAATGCCACCAAAGCCCAGGAGCCTGAAGGGCAGGATCCAGCTCCCTCCCCAGCCCCCAAGAGGGCAGCAGGGCCTG